TTGTAAGTTAGAGCGTAATTGCATGTAGTAAGCAGTTTAAAATTTGTATTTAGAATAAATTATTTATAGTTTTGACGTTACTAGCAGTGCAGGTAGTGAAATAAAGTTTCTGCTTCATTTTGAAGTACTTTGATTACAGAATAAGTAGTGTTTCTTGTTAAATAACAATTTAGACGGTAGTTGATAATATTGGAGGTGTTAAATCAATTTGCTGCATGCTTTAACTCTTAATAAAGCAGCTTGATTTATTAATATCGCATTGAATTAACAATTGCATGCGGTAGATTAGTTAGAAATTGTTTATAACTTTAATTTTTTGTGTGTATGACAGATGGAACTTTCGGGCTACCACAGGCATCAAGGAAAGGACTTCCACATCGGGGAAAATGAAGAAATGCAAGTATTTAAGAAAAAATGAATTATTTATTGTAAGATAAGCGTGCAAAATGTATTTTACAAAAGGTTACAATATACCAGTGTTACATTACAGCATTTTACCGTCTATTTATTTCTCCTTTACACACCAAATCCATTTCCTTTTGCGAAACAGTCATTATTTAAATAAGATTCCATTAAAAAACTAAGTAAACCAAGTCCGGATATCGTTAGGAACGCGTAAAAATCGTAAATGTCGCCAAGTTCGAGCGAAGAACTTGGAGATTTGTGCGCAAATAGCTTAGGGACTCGATTTCGACAAATTTCGAGCGTCTGAGATATGGTCGACTTGCACTACTGGCCCGAGCAAATCTCGACTTATGGTTGACTCGCAGGATAGTTCAGAAATTTCAATAATTAGACGAAAATCAGTGAGTCAATCATAAGTCAGACGTCGAAACTCGTTGTCTGATAAATGGTTGACTTTGCTACTAACAAATTTCAATGTCTGACTTATGGTTGACTTGCAGAAAACTCGGAAAATTTAAAAATTTTCAACTATCCTGTGGGTCAACCATAAGTCAGACATCGAAATTTGTTAGTAGCAAAGTCAACCATTTATCAGACAACGAGTTTCGACGTCTGACTTATGATTGACTCACTGATTTTCGTCTAATTTTTGAAATTTCTGAACTATCCTGCGAGTCAACCATAAGTCAGACATCGAAATTTGTTCGAGCCAGTAGTGCAAGTCAACCATTTCTCGGACGCTCGAGATTTTTCCGCGAGCTGGCCAGTAGTGTAAGTCAATCATTTCTCAGATATTCTAAATTTTTCGGAGTCCCTAAGCTATTTCCGCAGAAATCTCTAAGTTCTTCGCTCGAATTTCGCGATTTTTACGCGTTCCTAACGATATCCGGACTTGGTTTACTTAGTTTTTTAATGGAATCTTATTTAAATAATGACTGTTTCGCAAAAGGAAATGGATTTGGTGTGTAAAGGAGAAATAAATAGACGGTAAAATGCTGTAATGTAACACTGGTATATTGTAACCTTTTGTAAAATACATTTTGTACACTTATCTTACAATAAATAATTCATTTTTTCTTAAATAACTGCATTTATTCATTTTTCCGGATATCGAAGCCTTTCCTTGATTCCTGTGGTGGCCTGAAACCCTCCATTTATAATTTAAGCAAATCTAAATTGCTATTTAACGAGAAACATTAATTATTCTTCGATCAAAGCACTTGCAAATAAAACAGAAACTTTAATAAACCGATACGTTAATAAATTAATAAATAAGGCTGCTTTTCCGCTTTGAATTTCGGACTTGGAGAATTTTGGCATGTCTAAGAAGTGATTGACCTACACCACTGGCTAACTCGCGGAAAAATCTCGAGCGTCTGAGAAATGGTTGGCTTGCACTACTGGCTCGAACAAATTTCGATGTCTGACTTATGGTTGACTCGCAGGATAGTTCAGAAATTTCAAAAATTAGACGAAAATCAGTGAGTCAATCATAAGTCAGACGTCGAAACTCGTTGTCTGATAAATGGTTGACTTTGCTACTAACAAATTTCGATGTCTGACTTATGGTTGACCCACAGGATAGTTGAAAATTTTTAAATTTTCCGAGTTTTCTGCAAGTCAACCATAAGTCAGACATTGAAATTTGTTAGTAGCAAAGTCAACCATTTATCAGACAACGAGTTTCGACGTCTGACTTATGATTGACTCACTGATTTTCGTCTAATTTTTGAAATTTCTGAACTATCCTGCGAGTCAACCATAAGTCAGACATCGAAATTTGTTCGAGCCAGTAGTGCAAGCCAACCATTTCTCAGACGCTCGAGATTTTTCCGCGAGTTAGCCAGTGGTGTAGGTCAATCACTTCTTAGACATGCCAAAATTCTCCAAGTCCGAAATTCAAAGCGGAAAAGCAGCCTTATTTATTAATTTATTAACGTATCGGTTTATTAAAGTTTCTGTTTTATTTGCAAGTGCTTTGATCGAAGAATAATTAATGTTTCTCGTTAAATAGCAATTTAGATTTGCTTAAATTATAAATGGAGGGTTTCAGGCCACCACAGGAATCAAGGAAAGGCTTCGATATCCGGAAAAATGAATAAATGCAGTTATTTAAGAAAAAATGAATTATTTATTGTAAGATAAGTGTACAAAATGTATTTTACAAAAGGTTACAATATACCAGTGTTACATTACAGCATTTTACCGTCTATTTATTTCTCCTTTACACACCAAATCCATTTCCTTTTGCGAAACAGTCATTATTTAAATAAGATTCCATTAAAAAACTAAGTAAACCAAGTCCGGATATCGTTAGGAACGCGTAAAAATCGCGAAATTCGAGCGAAGAACTTAGAGATTTCTGCGGAAATAGCTTAGGGACTCCGAAAAATTTAGAATATCTGAGAAATGATTGACTTACACTACTGGCCAGCTCGCGGAAAAATCTCGAGCGTCCGAGAAATGGTTGACTTGCACTACTGGCTCGAACAAATTTCGATGTCTGACTTATGGTTGACTCGCAGGATAGTTCAGAAATTTCAAAAATTAGACGAAAATCAGTGAGTCAATCATAAGTCAGACGTCGAAACTCGTTGTCTGATAAATGGTTGACTTTGCTACTAACAAATTTCAATGTCTGACTTATGGTTGACTTGCAGAAAACTCGGAAAATTTAAAAATTTTCAACTATCCTGTGGGTCAACCATAAGTCAGACATCGAAATTTGTTAGTAGCAAAGTCAACCATTTATCAGACAACGAGTTTCGACGTCTGACTTATGATTGACTCACTGATTTTCGTCTAATTTTTGAAATTTCTGAACTATCCTGCGAGTCAACCATAAGTCAGACATCGAAATTTGTTCGAGCCAGTAGTGCAAGCCAACCATTTCTCAGACGCTCGAGATTTTTCCGCGAGTTAGCCAGTGGTGTAGGTCAATCACTTCTTAGACATGCCAAAATTCTCCAAGTCCGAAATTCAAAGCGGAAAAGCAGCCTTATTTATTAATTTATTAACGTATCGGTTTATTAAAGTTTCTGTTTTATTTGCAAGTGCTTTGATCGAAGAATAATTAATGTTTCTCGTTAAATAGCAATTTAGATTTGCTTAAATTATAAATGGAGGGTTTCAGGCCACCACAGGAATCAAGGAAAGGCTTCGATATCCGGAAAAATGAATAAATGCAGTAAATAAGATTCCATTAAAAAACTAAGTAAACCAAGTCCGGATATCGTTAGGAACGCGTAAAAATCGCGAAATTCGAGCGAAGAACTTAGAGATTTCTGCGGAAATAGCTTAGGGACTCCGAAAAATTTAGAATATCTGAGAAATGATTGACTTACACTACTGGCCAGCTCGCGGAAAAATCTCGAGCGTCCGAGAAATGGTTGACTTGCACTACTGGCTCGAACAAATTTCGATGTCTGACTTATGGTTGACTCGCAGGATAGTTCAGAAATTTCAAAAATTAGACGAAAATCAGTGAGTCAATCATAAGTCAGACGTCGAAACTCGTTGTCTGATAAATGGTTGACTTTGCTACTAACAAATTTCAATGTCTGACTTATGGTTGACTTGCAGAAAACTCGGAAAATTTAAAAATTTTCAACTATCCTGTGGGTCAACCATAAGTCAGACATCGAAATTTGTTAGTAGCAAAGTCAACCATTTATCAGACAACGAGTTTCGACGTCTGACTTATGATTGACTCACTGATTTTCGTCTAATTTTTGAAATTTCTGAACTATCCTGCGAGTCAACCATAAGTCAGACATCGAAATTTGTTCGAGCCAGTAGTGCAAGTCAACCATTTCTCGGACGCTCGAGATTTTTCCGCGAGCTGGCCAGTAGTGTAAGTCAATCATTTCTCAGATATTCTAAATTTTTCGGAGTCCCTAAGCTATTTCCGCAGAAATCTCTAAGTTCTTCGCTCGAATTTCGCGATTTTTACGCGTTCCTAACGATATCCGGACTTGGTTTACTTAGTTTTTTAATGGAATCTTATTTAAATAATGACTGTTTCGCAAAAGGAAATGGATTTGGTGTGTAAAGGAGAAATAAATAGACGGTAAAATGCTGTAATGTAACACTGGTATATTGTAACCTTTTGTAAAATACATTTTGTACACTTATCTTACAATAAATAATTCATTTTTTCTTAAATAACTGCATTTATTCATTTTTCCGGATATCGAAGCCTTTCCTTGATTCCTGTGGTGGCCTGAAACCCTCCATTTATAATTTAAGCAAATCTAAATTGCTATTTAACGAGAAACATTAATTATTCTTCGATCAAAGCACTTGCAAATAAAACAGAAACTTTAATAATTTTATATTTTATTTTTAATTTCGTATTTACATTTAGTTTTAATTCTAACCACTACTAATGTTGTAATCTTTTTCCGTGCTGAATCGGTAACGTTGAAAGCGGCACGAAAATGGTAAGGAGACTCTAGAGCCCCCGCATCGGGGACAAAAATTTACATTGAGTGATAGGTCTATTCTGCAGCTCGTCTGTGACATAACCTCTTATTACAGGATACTTGATTGTTATTGAAAGCCCGAATGAATTAGAATAGCCGTCATCTGCCATCGTATGAATAATGGCGAATGACAGGGAAGTGTTGCGGGAAATTTGGGATGGTAAAATTCCCGTTTGTTTTACGCTTGATTCCGAGGAAATATGTGAATTGCAAGGACCTGATCCGTTTTATCTTATGGTACCTAGGTTAAGTTACTTTCCACTCTGCACCGATAAGGTAAATAAAACGAGTTAAATACTACGTAACGCAAATAATTGTATCATTTATAATTATCTTCGACCGCGTGTTTCTTTAATCAGGTGCGAAAACATTTTATAAGACACGTACAAAGTGATAGTAAACAAGAGCATGAAATGTGGTTAGAGTTTAATGGTATCCCGCTAAAATGGCATTATCCAATCGGTGTACTTTTGGATATTTATTCCAATGATGTTCAGTTACCGTGGAATATCATTGTTCACTTTGATAGGTTCCCAGATAATGTGTTGATGCATTGTCAAAACAAGTAGGTATACCAGCATCTAATTTCATTCCTCTGTGCAGCAAGATGCTTAATTTCATTGAATTGTAATTCTAGAGAAGTAGTAGAATCATATTTTCTATCCTGTATAAAGGAAGCAGATATGCTGAAGCACAGAGGTCAGGTTGTATCTAGTATGCAAAAGAAAGATCACAATCAGTTGTGGTCTGGTTTACTTAATGATAAATTTGATCAATTCTGGTCTGTGAATCGAAAACTTATGGAAGCTAATAATATTGAAGAGGGTTTTAAATACATACCATTTCGCTGTTATACAAGCGAAGACAAATATGTACAGAAACTTGTAAAACCTGTGAATGAGGAAGGTCAAAGGAAAACGTTGAGGCATTTATTGAATGAAGTATTCCCAGATGATGAAAGTGGTAGATATTTCACTTTACACCCATACTTTTTACAATATTACATTTACATCATTAAATATATATGTACATATGTGTTTTCTACAGTTACAGTGCTTACCCATGGTATTACACCACCCATGGAAACACCTCTTCAGTGGATGTCAGAACATTTGAGTTACCCTGACAATTTTCTGCATTTAATTGTTACATCATAACCCACATTGAAACTGCCAGTTGATTAATTATCAATGAGAATTCCATAAACCGTGAGTTCAATGATGTTTTCTCTTGCCATATTGCTGGCGCTCTAATTCAGATTCCCGTGTCGCGGATCTTTTTATTCTCTGCGTCCCTTACCGCATATTTATTTTATACGAAGTCGTAAGCGTCGTCCTAATTTTTCTCGAAGAAAATAACGATTAAACGTGATGCTATTACTGTTGCTTGTATTCTAGTAACGCACGAACGTATACAATTTTTATCGTAATCGCAATAATAGACGTATGCTAAGGTCGGATCGACATCGGACCACAATAAATATTTAAAGAATCATTTATGTATATAAACGTACCAATTAAAAATTGTAATTGATGTTATAATATTAATGTGAATATTCTGATGGAAAAGAAACGAAAAACTTGAAAAGGATGTAAATTATTGAATATACCAAACGATAAAATAACGATACGTTTAAAAGATACTGTCATTTAATTTACAATTGAGAACAGCGATTAAGCCATAGATTAATTTATTACACAACTTTCTCGAGGCTTTCGATATATCCGTAATATCTGCGAGGATGCATCTCCGGTGTTATTAGTTGCCAAAGACCCAGTGGGTCTTCGTACAATAACGGGTTGGTTACCGTAGTTGCTATACTCCATGGTTCTACGACTCGTTCCAAAAGTTAAATAGTTGACAACTTCCTTCTTACTCTGTTGCTCCTGTAACATAGAGATTTACCAGCCATTAAAATAATTGTGACTCGAAGGAATGTACATTGCCATATACCAGGTGTTCTTGAAAATAAGATCAATAAATTGTCATTTCTATATTTGATTGTGTTGAAGGAGTACTACTTTTTACTGGTAGAAATGTTTTAGTGTTAAAAAAGATAATTACTTTAAATATGATTAAGGACGTATCTTGGTATCTCTTGCGAATCTCGTCGTTAGTCAATGCGATCTTCACTTCTGGCGATTCATAACGCTCCGTCATTTACAACTATTCTTTCTGCGTACTCTAGCTGCAGAACCTGTAACACGTATCAGTTTACGAATGAGAATGACGTCCATCTGATCGTAAACCGTGATTAAACGACCTTCGATCGCCGTAAAAATTCCGCTACCCAATGAACCGGTAAAAGCATCAACCAAGGAAGATTAACGTTCTCAGTCTTGGAACGACGATGTCGACCAAAACAGAGTGAAACAAAAGACAGTGAAAAAAAAACATGTGCTTCGAGGGGGAAACGTGGAGGAGAAACGACTGGAGAGAAGGCACACGTTCGTCTAGTCTAGGGTAAAAATAAACTCTGGCTGGACTTTCACAACGCAGTAAACAGTGTCTTCCAACTGTTTTCAGAATTAATAATCCCTGCTTTGTTCCTTCTTCTCACTTTTACCGCGCAATATTAACTTTCTTTGTTGTTCTCCTCCCGTTATATCACATTAAAAAATACACTTTGCAATTTACCTGTTATTACGGACGGTAGTACTTTTCGCGAAAGTGATTCTTCAGGAATTTCCAACACTTTGAATTATTATTCTAACGTTGCTGCATTTTCCTCTTCAACGAACACGTCTCGCGGATAACTTCTCTTTAACTATAATCAAGTTCAAGAACACGTTGTCATGTATTATTTATTAATACGATATACGGATAAGTGAACCACGATGTTCAGTTCTTTCAAACAACTTTGCCGAATGGAAAGATCGTTGGATAAAATATGATTTAGTCTGGTGGTTTTTGAAATCACCTGTAATTTGTAACCACTGTCCGATGGTATCGGCGGATGGATAAGAAGTACACCGCAAGAATAATCAACGAAACTCGAGACTTTGTCGCCACGATGTGATCTTTAACTCGCAAACATGAGACACGTTATTCGTCTATTGGAATGAAGCCAGGAACTTTTTGGTATCCCTTTCGAATTTCCGGTTGAGAACGCCAGACGCGAGGAATTCTGTCGTGAATTTTTTCGCGTTGCAGGCTAGGTAGTTTATTACTCCTGAATACGAAACGATTTAGCAAGAGATATAGCGCTGCACGGTCATAAAACTTACTGCAGGGGAATTAACTTGGTATACGTGAACGAGATTTTAATAATTCAAAAAGGATTTATTCACAAACGTATTTACGTATATACGACTGCAGTGAACATGTGATTTTAATGTGAATTTTTGTTTGTATGTGCCACTGCACCCTTCCTAATTGCATTGCACCAGTCGGTGACATTTATTGGCGTTGATTGAAGCGTTGCATCAGTCATACTTTGATTCAAGGTCTGCTTTGCGCGCATGCGGTGGCCTCAATAAAAACGAACAGCGTTGTTATTGCGATTTAATATAGGGAACTTTCGATAAACGTCGTTAATTTTTTAATCGGAGTACAAAGTATTCAATAGAATGTTAACAGCTGCAAACAAAGTCGACGCAGATTTAATATCTTACCGATTTACAATTACAATTGCGTTAAATATTAAATTAATTACGTTTCAGGACAGTGCAATATGGTCTGCAACCAGGACGATAAGATATTCAATAATCTTTCAAAGCAATTGCAGGAAAGTATCGATAAATCAGTGTGTAACTGCGTAGCCACGGTCGATAACGCGAGTACCTGTAATATATGACGACTTCAAGAGTTTTCGTAAACCTGCAGAAAAATGAACTAATTTTCAAACGTGTTCGTTAAAACAGACTTCATTTTAAACCCATTGCATAAAGTTAATCACCATTCCAATTCAATTATCGCTTATTCAGATTGAATTATACAGTTGCAGCCGTATGCTCTGGAGATACATAAGAATATGTTGCGTCACACGCACGTGTGCAGCTGTACGCACCACATTCTTCTGTTTGAACGTAAGTTCAAAGAAACATTCAACGGAAAAATATTACAATTCATTTTGTTCCTATTACTCTACGCCTTCCTACGCTTTAACGGTGAATACGAATTAAAAATGCAGTCGTTGCTTAATGAAAACCCACTGGAGTCTCAAGAATGAACGAACGTTTAACAATTCAGACAAAAAAAAAAAAGGAAGAAGAGGGAAGAAGAAACTGGAAAACGTGAAAGAACCTTTACGTCATTTATCGACACAGAAGTGCATAGTCGAAGAACAGGCAATTGCAGGCGTACGGTTGCGTGCTTAGAAAGTTTATCGAGTACGTGTGCGATCGTCGATCCGCGGATACTACCAATCAACCACGATAACGGAAACAATGCATCGATTGCAGCCAGCAGCATAGTATGAGTGTGCATCCGACGTGACTGCTTTCAGTGCACAAGTCACAATGAGTTGGCTTATCTCCGGTATATATGACTTCAGTCCTTGTTCATATGCTACGGAATTATTCAAGCGACCGCAAAAATTCACTTATTTTAGCAACATAGGTTAGGACGTCGGTACAGTAGAAAAAATTCTAAATATGTACGTAGCATGCAACATTTAAGTGTTTGGTCAGTTGCACAAGATTTTAAGTTAAATTTACTGTAACTTGAAGTCGAAGAGTTTGTCAACGCGTGGAACATTTCATCAGATAAGATTAAAATCTTCGTTACAAAAAAAAATGGTTATTGAAACAATAGAGAGAGTGATACGGATTTGAGATTTCTGCTTTTTACAAACTTTCAATTATTGTAAAAGCAGAACACGTTCGTAGAACATTGTACATAGAAGTTAGTAGATATTTCTCGAAGTATCGAAAACTTTATTCCTGTTGTTACCGTTAGAAAGAAGAACGAGGGAATACGATAAATCTATATACCGACAATGGGAAAATTATATAGATTCGATAAAGCATACAAGTTACAATTGTACGTAGAAAATTCTCTGCTATTTGCCTCTCTATATCTATAATTACGCTTTCATGCCAGTTAAAGCTATCACTTTGGTTCCGTAATAAATATATATTCCGATGAAACGAGATCGGGATGAAAGACAGCGCCGTTCCCCTGATTTCGACCTGTAACTCGGCGCGTGTATCTTTGTTCGCCTGTGTCAACTTTCCTCAAATTATCAGTTTTCTTCTTATCTACGAGACGTTTGCTTCGTCACGCGTGCACGCGCCTCAGGGAAATGCATATAATCAAACGTATATTTTCTCAATCATGCAATCACAGGTGGTTATAATTATCCGGTTGATAGAGAAAGAAAAAGTGCATGCATATTTTAATTCAGAGGATAAAAAAACTTTGCAATCAAATCGTACATTACATTTCGCGACGTGCATTATTGGCAGCATATCGTTAATAAAGAGAATAATACGGTGCATCGAAGATTAGAATTGAAGGAATGAGTATATAATCGCGATAGCTAGGTTAGAAATAAGAAAGTTAAAAGTTAGGTTAGAAATAAGATGTACTTCTTTTAAAATAGTCTCTTATATTTTCTCTCAAATTCTCATAATCTACGCGTGTGTGTGTGTGTGTGAGTGTGTATGTATGTGTATATATAATACAACATCTAATGCAATCATCCTTGTTTCTTCGAGCGTACAAAAAGAACGACACGTAAACGATGCCTGTCTCACCGTACATTAAGATCACTCTCAATCATTCTCTCTCTCCCTTTCTCTCCAGATTGATTCAGTCCCTTCCTCTCACACTTTACGTCGCTCTCGGTGAATCATAATAAACGGATATGGTCACATCTGTCATGTACAATGTATCACACTTTGGGCTGCTCGCGACGAAGGAACCGCGCGATTCTTTCGATCGACCCTTGGGAACGAGTGCGCACGTCCAATCGTCGCAGTTTCCCATCTATCGTTCGAATGGTTCATGGTCGAACGCGAGTTAAATACTAACCGATTAGAATGATTGGAGGTGATGGTGTATACGGTGGACAAGCGGGAAAGTACATAAAAGGAAAGGTGAGAGAGGAGAGAAAGAGAAAAAAAATAAGAAAAGACGTCTCTTTAATTGTACGCAGTATCTTCAATTGATCTTATTTATTCGATAGAAAAGAAGAAAAAAACAGAAATAAAATTATGGTTCTTTTTTTTTATTTTTTTCTCTTCATTTTAACGTGGTCGAAATCACGACCAATAAATAAAACGAATAAATTCTGAATACTGATTATTACTACACGGTTGGACGAGTCACCGGTGTTCTCTTCTCGCGTTATCCTTGTCAAGAGCCTCGCGGGGAAACGCTTCTCTTCGCCGTCACACGGAGGACGTAAAAATCTACGTGCCTCGTGTTATTCTAAAGGACGCGAGACACTTTGGTCCTTGATTCCACCTCGCGTTTAGCGAAACTATAAGGCACGAGCGATCTCTATAAAGCTATCTCTTTCAACGCTTTATATATATAAATTTCTTTGTACATATACGATACACGAGCATTATGCTTACAACAACACAATTATTTTTCTCTCTGTGTATGGTTCTGTGTATACATTTCTCTCTCTCTCTCTCTCTCTCTCTCTCTCTCTCTCCCCACTCTGCCTACACGTGTGTACGGACTTTAAAACGTGGAGGCTCGCCCACGAAACTTTTTCTCCTCACCTCGTGAACTCTCTCTCTCTCTCTCTCTCTCCCCCTTTACCCTCCGTTCACACAGTTTGATGCACTTAAAAAATATTGCTTATACAATGCTTTATGCCTCGTTTAATAGACTCTTGTGGGCTGTGCACACGGAACACACGCGGACGCGCGTTCGAAACGCGCGCGGTAGTAGACACACGCACGCAGCCACGCATTTATTTCTCGCGCTATCGAACACGTTCCTCGCTCACTCTCCCACCCGCACTCTCTCTCTCTCTCTCTTTACTCAGTCGGTTCGACGCTACGTTTATTATGTAAAACGTTGTTATGGCATTATGTAATTCATTATGGCTTACGATTACGCTGTATTTTATTGTACATTGCCACCTTGACCCTATCGATGAACACGGACAAGGCTAAACACGCTTTCCTTATCCCATCTTCGTAATTTCCGATTCTCAAAAGACCGACGTTGTTCCACGAGCAAATCTGCTCGAAAGTGTTTCTTTAAAAAAAAAAAAATGAAAAAATTCGTCGATGTACCTTCGTGAAATTTGTATGAATCGCCAACGGAAGAACGCGAGAACCAAGATGGTGGCGCACAGGTAAATATCGTTGACCGGCAACACTATGATCCACGCGGAGAGGCAAGTGCATCATTCCGATAATACGCGACTGTCGCAACGCGTGAGATTAGTCACGGTATGAAACGAACTCGATTGGGCCTGAATATTGAAACATTGACGTAACTGCCTCCGTCTGCGATTGTAATTTACAAAATTGCCCTTCTTTGCCGCGGTACGCTCAATTGTCGGATCGCAGAACATTTCGTGGAACGCTATTTTCAGTTTCCCATCCGGCTAGCAAACTTCTACTTTCTCATCGAACGTTAGATAGGTTCTTTTTTCTATTTTTTTTCAACTCGTAGATCGAACTGTTCACCGAACTATCTCTTCATGATCGATCGAAGGAGATAACGATCGATTACGAGCAACCGTAACGGAACGGAGGGAATTTCCGTGTTTTTTTCCTCGCTGATTCGAAAACTTTCTTCGTTGGCTATCGCTCGAAGGTCGTTCGACGATAAAAAAAGAGAAAAAGGTAGCGCGTTATCGGCTCGAGAATCGGAACGAACCAACCGGGATACGATATTTCAACGATGTACATATTATCGTCGCGCGAATAATTTATAAGAATAATTAAGAACATCTCGTGGTCCGAGCTAGCCTAAATTCGAATCGCGAATTCACTTGTATATCTCTAAACACTCGATGATAAACGTCACGTTCCTCTCTGTGTGTGTGTGTGTGTGTGTGTGGTTCTAATATTTATATTATATATGTATAATCGTGTAAGGCACGCGGGTTTTTTGTTATTTTTCTTCAGAGCGTGTGTCTTTTGAAAATTCTCCCCTTATATACGATCACCCTTTACTTTAAACTCTATCGAAACTAATTAATAAACGAATCGTTTCGTGATTGTACGTTGTTCGATTGTCAAGATTCACGTGATTAATATCGATAAAAAAGAAAGGATTCGTATAAATTCTAGAGGATTCTTCCGCAGACGAAACGGTTCGCTCGTTAACATTTCTCTTCCCCCCGCTTCTTAAGACACAAGTTTGTACAAAATATAATTCTGTATACGATTAAACCTCTACGTGTAAGTTTTACATTCCTTCTATACGTTAGACCTATAAACTTTGCTCCAGGATCAGCCAGAAGAAAAGGCACGGGGTGGTGGCCTCGAGCGGAAGCGGTCACGATGGATTTCAACGCGAACAAACTCTTCGCCCCTTTCGTTCCCTCCTCCTCGGGTTCGCAAACTCGGTACAAAAATACCCAGGAATTTCACCGGCGAGAGGATCCAATGAAATCGCGTGAAAAATTGCAACGTTCCACCGATAAAAATCTCCGGTCTAAATAAAATTCGATCCTCCCACGTGAAACGTGGATCGGTCAATTCCTCTGGTCATATTTACATATTTACAGGCTATCAATCGAGAAGGAGGGAAAGAAGAACACGGAAGGTCGAAGAGAGAATCGCCGGAGAAACTCGTCGCGAAGGGGAGAAGAAGAGGAGAGAGAAAGAAGAAAAAACGGAGACGAAACCCTGTCGTAATACTTGCGCACCGGTGCGCGCATGGAAGAAATTCTTTGAGCAATTAAACGATCCCCGACGTGTCACGCGTAACGAGAAGAGTTACGATGCTTCGTGGAAACCTCCATGACCGTTGACGAGTCAACGGAAATCCAAAGACTATACTAAGAAAGAAAGAAAGGGGAAAAAAAATAGAAATAAAAGTGCAGTAATCGGCGGTTATCGTTTCGATTTATCGTCAATACCAATCTAACGCGTTCTCCAATTGGCTGAAAAATAAAGGCGGTGTCGTCACACGATTACGCAACTGCGAGAAACCATGCCTCGCGAGAGTTTTCTTCGCGTTCGGTATCATCCAGAGGCTGACATAATTCCGTAATTATAGCAAATACACTCGACCTCTAAACGGCCTAGCCGATAGCCAGCGAACGCGCTAATCTCGGCGATAAAACGACGCGAAGAAAAAAGAAGTGTTCTCCGTGTGTGTCTATCTCTCGACGGTGAATTATTTGAGAGGCAGGGGGAGGGGGGCAGGTTAGGTTTGAAGAAGTTGGAAGATGTCGACCGAGGACGCGACCATGTATAATCTCCTTCCACGACGCGGCTTGTCCAATGGCCGATTAAGACTTTATCGTGATGTATAACGCGACACCGACGATCTGGGGAAACGATAAACGCTTACGTGGCGCACACGACGTGTCGTAGATCACGTACCGATCGATCCTTCCACGGGGAATCCTTTCCGCGTGATCCTTCGCTTCGAAACAGTACCCACGGGTCAATGTTATATTGCTAGCTACGGCGTCACTTAACCTGCTGTATCGGCGAACGAGAATTTTTCTCCTTTTTCTCGAGCGAAGAGAGAAAGAGAAAAAATCTGTAATCGCACTTGTGTGATTGAAAAAATGTGCCAGTTGAGAGATTGACAAAGGTATCGATCCGAAAGGTAACTACTAATCGACGAATTTCGTATATATGTATGTAAAAGAAAAAAAAAGAAGGAAAAGAAAGAAAGCATCGCTCTCCTCCTCTTTTACGCCGTATATCGAGGATCTCACAAGTATTTTTCGATTAACTGTAATGAGGACTCGCTGGATACCTAACGAACGCGCTCCTGACCTGCGGGAACTCGGTGTAAGGACTCGGATGAGTCCTCCAGGATACCGGCAGTCTTAAGCTAAGCTCGAGAGCGTAGTCGTGGCCTCTGCCTTCGTTCAGATTGCAGATACTTTGGCAGTTGTTGTTGTTGTTCACGACGTTCTGGCTGCTAACAGGTGACAAACCCCTCTGGATCGTGTGCTCCTTCGAGGGTTTGCTCACAGGATTGTCCAAGTACGGTTTGAACAGGATGGCGTCCTTCTTCGAGGTTGGTCCCGGGGGCAGAGGTGGGTTCGACGCCGGTGGTGTCGGCACGGTGCTCGTCACCGGCTCCGTTCTGGACGGAGACGCGTCCACGGGCCTCTTTGGCTTCACCAGACAAAGCGGCGTTTCCTGAGGAGGCACTTCTTGGCAGGAATTCGTCATGATCGAATCATCGGCTTCTAGACAGAGTCTCTTCGGCGACGGGACAGTTTCGTAGCAGCAGGACAAAGTACAGTGCTGCCTCTTGAACGGCGAGGACAGTTCCTCGGATTGTTCTTGAATCGAGGTAATTTCCGAAGAATACTCTCGCGGGGAATAACAGTACAGCCTGGTCTGCGAATCCGAGTAGCACGATCCTCTTAAGGAGGCCTCCTGGTAGCAGGAGGCGGCCGGTGTCACGGCGTGGCTGTCCATGCAGCAGGAAAGATTGCAAGAAACCAGTGGCTCGCCCTCGGAGGATGCGTCTACCACGGCTGGATGCTGGTAGTATGGAAGATGCTGCGAGGAGGAGGAGGAGGAGGAACCGACGTCGCAACAGTAAAGAGGCGGAGGCGAGCGATCGTACTCAGCTTCGATTCGATCTTGCGATAAGCCGCTAACGTAGTTCGACGTCCTCAGATCTACCGGTGAGTCACCGGAAGCGGCATCCTGGATGGGCCCGAGCCGTTGCCTCGAGTTTCCACGAAGAGCGATCTCGCCCCTCAGTTCCGTCTCTTGACCTAGCCATTTCTGCACTTGCCGGCGATTTATACCGAATTTCCTAGCGGTGGCGCGTTGATTCCCCGCCACGCCGATGTCTCGATGAAACGCGTCTAGAACATCCAATTTGAATCTCAGAGAGAAGGATCGTCGACGGGCGAGTTCGTTGGAGGAATTCTGGCTACCGGCGGAGCAGTCCAGGGGATCCATCTCGCTGTCGGAACAGCTGGTGGTGGATCTACCAGAGCTGGTTGGTCCTCGTGGGCTGGACGGTAAAGAGTATCCTTCGTGATCGTGTACAGGGCTTACGGGACGAGAATCGTCGAGCGTCGAGGCGGTAGTAGCAGCCTGTGGTCGTTGATAATCGACGTACGAGGATGCAACCGACGACGCTTCCCTTCCTTCCTCGCCATTCTCGTCCTGCTCCAGGTGAATTTCTTCCTTGACCACCGCCCTAGCAATCTCTACCTCCTCCGTAGTGTCCTCCGTCGTTCCCTTCTCTCCGATATGGGCCGTGGCCGTTTCCTTCGACTCTCTCTGCGGCCGATGGGGGATCGGTTTCTCGGAATCTGGCGTCGGTGACGCGTGTGCGTGTGCGTGCACGTGCAGGCACGGGCTCGCGGAGGCCCGCGGGGAATCGAAGTGAACGGACGCGATGGAGCTGGGGCTACTAGAGCTGGAACCACCGTTGGTTGGATGCGAGACTGGCGAGAGCGGGAGCCTCGTGACGCCGGGTGAACTCGCCGACTCGCACGGCCCTGGCGTCGCCGCCGAGTCTGGGCTCGCTCGTTCCGTCTTTATCATCGACGGCGCTAGCAGCATTCCATACGACGGTTTCCCGTCCATCGAGGAATCCACGTCCCCGTAATTCTGCTGAGATCGATGATGACTGCTGCTACTGGCCGGTGAACGATGTCGATGTAACGACATCATTTCGTTCTCGTTGTTGCAATATCGATAATTCTCCGGACGTGCAGGTACTCTATGATACGCCGTTAACGTTTGGTACACCTTCGCCTCGTTTCTCGCGTCGAACGACGCACAATTCTCCACGTCCCGCTGCTCGTTCGAATTTAAAACGTAGTAATTATTGGAGTCCTGGTCGACGCGCGACTCGGAGTAACTGTGAACGTCAGCCGTTACCTGTACTCGATCCTCTGCTTCTCTACGTACATGATGCTGCTGCTGCTGCTGTTCTGGATTGACGGAATACTCTTGGTAACCGAGTCGAACGGGTAAAATAGGCAAAACAGGCGGCGTTGTACCGGATTTTGAAGCATATTGGGGCGAAGAGGGTGAACCACCGTGAGGAGGATGAGGAAGAAGAGGTGGGGGCCCTTGCTGTGTAGCCAGCTCGTCGCCGTGCAGTCTGGCGAGGCTGAGGTTCAAGGCCGGCGCTGCTGGAGTCACGGCGGGCCCCGTGGCTTCCGTCACGGTACCGTCCGACTTGGAAACACCACCACCCGGAGCAGAGATCACCGTCGTCGAAACCACTACGTTACTACCAGTCTCCGCACAACTGTTTCTCAAATTATCCTCGCACTGTAACCACTTTTGTATCTGACGCCGATGAATACCGTACTTCCTCGCTGTCGCTCGCTGATTACCACGGCAATCGATGTCGTTTCTGTACGAATCGAGAACCTTGAGCTTGAAGGCCGGCGCGAATATGCGTCTGCTACCCATCACACCCACGGATTTTCTCGCAGTGCTCCCTTGTTGCTGTTGATGTTGATGCACCGTTTGCTGTTGCTGTTGTTTCGGATGCACCATTTTCACCGAGCTTCCCTCACCAAGCACCTCGCTCACGCCATGAGCCATAATGTGTGTGCGTGTGTGTGTGTGTTACTCTCACGCACCGAACTGTTCCGCAACGTGACGATCACACCGTCACGTCGAGCACGGGCACGAGCACAGGAACGGGAACGACGACGACGATGAGCTTCGAAACCGGGCACTGCCAACGACGCACGGGGGTACCTTAACGCGTAACATTGCACGAAGTGGCCTGGCCGCGCCGCGCACGGAGTTCCTTTTAGGTCTTGGTAGATGCCGTAACTAATTTTCATCCCCACCACCGCGTCGACGACTGCGGCTGCTTCCCACTGAAACGGTCTTTCCCTTCCCCTCACGCTCCCTCGCTCCCTCTCGCTCAACCGTCCCTTGCCGCGCTACTCCCCTCCCCGATGCACCACTCACGGTCTCTCGCCGTACTGCCCCCA